TGACGGGTCGCAGCTCTCAGGGTGGTTGCAGGGATGGCACAAGAGGGTGTGGTCAAGCACCATCACATGGAGGAGAGGGTCTGCCGAGCCCCTGGAGACAGCAGGGCAGGGGCGCCGCCTCAGCCCGGAGGACCTGGAGGATGCTCAGGGGTCAGTGACCAGCCCTGCGGTCCCCGGGGCTCTGGCTGGACTCTGCAGCCACCCCCGCTCCTTCCTCTGCCACGGCCAGGCCTCAGGTGCAGCCCATAGGCTCCCGGCACCAGGGGCCCGCTGGACGTGGCCTTCTGCAGGACCTGGCTGCCCAGGATCTGGAAGAGGGTCCCTGCCCACCTCCCAGGGCCGGACACACGGGTTGGGGTGGTAGATACACCAGCTTCCTTTCAAAATTCACCTTTGTTGAGGTGTAATTTATACACAATAAATGCACCCATGTAAGGGACAGTTGGAAGATGTTCCTGCGCTCACAGTTCAGATACAGAACAGCTCATCGCTTGGGACGTTCCCTCGGCCCCTCTGTGACAGCCTCACCCCTTTCTGGTGACCAATGACGTCGAGTGTTTCTCGTGCTTATTTTCTACCTAAATAACTTCTTTGGCCAAGTGTCTGCTCAAGTCTTTTGCCTATTTTTGTAATTGTGTTGTTTGTTTTCCTGTTACTGAGTTTTGATAGTTCCTTGTATACTTTGGATACAAATCCTTTATCAGATACGTGATTTGCAGGTGTTTTCTTATACCCTCAACAGCCTCTTTCAGAGGGCAGATTCTTTTTATTCTGATGAAGCCAATTTCTCCCTCTCAGTAGATTCTGCTTTTGATTTGTATTTTAAAAAAATCTGTGCCTAACCCAAAGTCACAAAGATTTTTCTCCTGTTTTCTTTTAGAAATTTTATGGTTTTAGGTTTTACATTTAGCACTATGATGCATTTTGAGTTAATTTTTGTATATGGCAAGAGGTATGAATCATGAATCAAAGTTTATTGTCATGCAGATGGTAATCTAATTGAGCCAGCACCACTGGTGGAGAGATTATTCTTTCTCCACTGAATTGCCTTTATATCTTTGATGATAATTACCCGTCTGTGTATGTGTGGGTCTATTTCTGGATTCTCTGTTCTGTTCCATCGATCTGTTTGTCTGTTTTCATGCCAATACCACACTGTCTTGATAACTGCAATCTTGTAATAAGTTCTGAAAACAAGTAGTGTTAGTCCTTCAGCTGTTTCTTTCTAAGGTGTTTTGGCAATTCTAAGTTCTTTTTTTGCATTTACATATAAATTTCGGAATCAGCTTGATTTCAATTTTTTAAAAATCCTGTTGGAATTCTGATTGGGATTGCATTGAATCTGTGCATTAATTTGGCTAGGATTTATGTGTTAATACTATTGAGTCTCCCAAACCATGAAAATAATATCTCTTTCCCATTTATAGGTCTTTAATTTCTCGGGACAATATTTTATAATTTTCAATGTGCTGTCTTTGATATTTTTCATCGTATTTATTTCTAAGTATTTCATATATTGTATGGTTTTATAAGTGGTATTTGAAAATTTTCCATTTTTGATTGCTTGTTTCTAGTATGTAGAAATACAGTTGAGTTTTGTATATTTATGTTGTATCCAGAAACTTTGCTGAGCTCACTTATTGGTTCTAGTAGTCTTTTTACAGAGTCCATCGGATTTTCTACATAGATGATCATGTTGTCTGTGAATGACAGTTTCATCTCTTCCATTCCAATCTAGATGCTTTTTATTATTATTTTTCTTGCCTTGTAGCACTAACTAGAATCCCTAGTTCAATGTTGAGTAGAGGTGGTTGGAACAGACATTCTTATCTTGTAGCTGATGTTGGGGGAAGCATTTAGTCCTTCTCCACTCCATATGATGTTTGCTGTGGATAATATTTCTCAGGTGCTATATATCAAGTTGAGGCAGTTTCCCTCTAGTCTTAGTTTCCTGAGAGTTTTTATCAGGATGTTGCATTTTGTTAAATGATTTTTCTGCATCTGTTGAGAGGATCGTATGATTTTTCTTTTTCAGTTTGTAAATGTGGTGAATTAACATTGATTGTCAAATATCAAACCAACCTTGCATTACTGGTATAAACACCTGTTGGTCATGTTGTATTATTCTTTTTATATGTTGCTAGATATACACATCTTTTTATGGACCTTTGGGATTTTCTTGGGTAAATACCTAGGTGTGGAATGGCTGGGTTATATGGGATATATAAGTTTAACTATATAAGAAACTGCCAAACCGTTTCCAAAGTGGGTTGAACCTGTTTACATTTCTGCCAGTGGCATATAAGAATTCCAGTTGCTCTGCATCCTTATCAACACTTGGTAGTATCAGTCTTTGAAATTTTAGATATCCTAGTGGGTGTGTTATCACAAAAGATTTTTTAAAAATGTACAAACATCCTGCTCTTTCAGTCACAAACTTGTGTGGCCTTATTCCCCACACACTTGAGTTAGTGGGCTCTCATTGTCGTCTTATGTAAAAGATCTTGGTGTCTCCATCTCTTAACATAACCTCCTGAGCCCTCTTTAGAAATAGACTGTGTGTCGGTGTGCAAACAGGTATGTATATCATCACACACAAATACCAGGAGGACAGACCGGCTTGGGTCAGTCTTCAATTTCATACCGGTGGAGCCTTGTGCCAGTTGCAAGACATTGGGACAGTTTGTAACCTCTCCTTGAGCCTCACTTGTGTCTGGTTTGTCAGAGACAGACGATGTTACCAATGGCTATGAGCCATCAGTTCTCGTCACAGCCTGCCTCGGGCTCACTCGACTGCCTCATGCCCATTTTTCCCTCTAAGCAGGGGTTGGCAAACTTTTTCTTAAAAAGCCAGATAGTAAACATTTTAGGAACATACAGTCTCTATCACAACCACTCAACTTTGCTGTTGTAGTGTGAAAGCAGCCGAAGACGTCTGTAAACAAACGGGCATGGCTGTGTTCCAAAAAAAACTACTCATGAGAACAGGCAGCCGGCCTGCGGACTATAGTGCCGATTCCTGCTGAAGGGTTGTGCGCACATGGCTTCTCCCAGGCCAGGAGCTGGACAGTCATCCCAGATCCTCTATGTGAGGATGTGGGTGGGCGGGCACAGGCATTCCAGCCCCTTGGCCGGGCAGAAGCTTTGGTGGCCTTCATTTAGCCATCCTAAGAAGTTCCGGATGGGTAAAGGCAATGGGATGTGGGGTCTGGGTCAGTGGTCTACACAGCCAGCACAGAATCCAGCAACACCACCATGTGGTGTGGAGTGGGGTCCCCACTGCACCCCAGTGCGGGGACTCTCCCAGCTGGGCTTGTCACCCACTGCCCCTCACAGGTGGATAGCCTGCCCCTGCCTACGCCATGTGCCTGGGTGCTCTGTGCATGGCCGTTGACTGAGTGTTTATAGGCAGCTTTGGCAAAGCCTTCTGGAAAGGTGGCGCCCAGGGGAGACATCCCATCTGTCTCTGTTCTGGGACCTCAGCTGCCCCCCCAACCTATCCTCCAGGAGGGTGTATAACTATAGACTCCCTCCTGATCCCAAAGAGCTGCTCAGCTCTGCATAGACAAAGCTCCTGGTACCTGCACGGAGTGTCACTTGGGCATTTGTTTGTTGATTGACTGAGGGGTGGAGAAAAAGCCTTTGGTCCCCCTGGGACACAGGGACCCTGCAAGATTGGGCTGTTGGCACTCACTGATTCGCAACTCTGTGGAGACCTGCTCTGCACCAGGTTCTGTGCTGGGTCTGGGGTGCCCCATGGGCCACGTCCTCAGGAAGCCCACCATTAATGGGGGCAACAGACCTTATCAGTCAGGGAGTCCAGCCGCGTAACAAACAGCCCAAATCTCAGAGACGGGGACGTTATTACTCATACTGCACAGGCCCTGGTGGACTCTCCTCTGACAGTGACTCTGGGCCAGGCCTTGCCCACGTTGGGCCTCCACCTCCTGTCACAGGGTCTCTCCGTCATCCAAGGGTGGACACACAGCAATGCGGGCAGAAGGTCATTTCACTGGCCAGGGTTGGGCCCATGGCCACACCTGGCTGCTGGGAACCATCTTGATGTAAACCACCCTCATCCAGGAGAGACTTTACCTAAAATGAAAGCATTTCAGAGATGACTCATCCCTTTCCAGAGAGAGTATTCCCTGGAGGGCTCCTGTCAACCATCCCCACTCAGCTGTCTCGGTGGGAGGTGTGAAACAGGGGGAAGACACTGAGTCACACAAGTGGCCGCTCACCAACCGCCCAGCTTACTGGCTTTGCTTTCCTTGCCTTTTGCTTTGCCGCATTTCAGCGTGAAACACTCAGACGTACCCAAAAGTGGACCCGCCATACCACGGCGCTCACGCACCCCATTCGGATTCAGCCATTGTTAGCGTGTTGCCACATTAGCTTCACCCACATACGCACGTGTATTTTTGTTGAATCTTTTAAAGTAAATTAGACTGAAGATGCAGAATCCCTAGATACATCAGCACGCGAGGTCAAGCCACAACGCACTGTCACACCTAACAGAATCAGCGCTGCTCGTGTGCTGTCACCTGACACGCTGTGTGTCATAGCAACGTTTGCCGCTACGGTTTGCCCAGTCGGAGACGTGCCTTACGTTGGTTGTGAGGTGTCTGGTATACTCAGAATCCTCCGCCCTGGGATGATTCATGTGCACAGACGACCCCCAGGGCAGACACCCCCAGAAGGCACATGCGCCCTGCCTGGGGTCTCTGGAACGCTGGGGTTGGTCTCAGGGGTGTGGGTTCCTGGCAGGGTGGGGGTTCCCTCCTGGGCCCCAGCCCCCCAGCATGGAGCTAGTGCTGCTGTCTCTCAGCAAATGCTCCATCCATGTCAGGGAGCAGCTGGGATGGCTGGGGGATGTCCAGGGTCTCCCGTGCAGCTGCCCACTGCGTGGTGGGGGTTGAGGGTTCCAGCTGGGAGCCTCATGATGCCTGGTCTGACGCTCTGTGGCTGAGCCTCCCTGAACTCTGGCCTTTTCCTTCCAGATCCAGACTGGGCTTCCTACACCCTGGGCGTGTTCATCTGCCTCAGCTGTTCCGGAATCCACCGGAACATCCCCCAGGTCAGCAAGGTGAAATCAGTCCGTCTGGACGCCTGGGAGGAGGCCCAAGTAGAGGTATGAACTGGGGTGACGGGCCAGAGCGGGGAGTCTTGCTGTCACCCTCAGGGTGACCCGGCCCTGACCTTGCTGGGCCTCAGCCATTGGGCAGTCAGGCTGTGGCCACCCGGGGCCTCGGTTCCCCCTTGGGGCTCAGGCTGTGCTCCCCGCAGGGGCTCAGGCTATGACCCCTGCCAGGGGCTTGGGCTGTGGTTCCCCTCGGGGCTCGGGCTGGCTGAAACCCGAGGCTGTGGGGCCGGGCAGCGGGCAGGACCTGGCCCTCCAGCAGCTCCTCCTGCACAGCTGCCCCCTCCATCCCTGCCGGGTCCACCCCCCTCCTGGGGCAGCCGTGGGCTCTGCAGCAGCTGCAGGGTGCGCCTTTGGTGCGTGAGGGAAGCGGGTCGCCGACCCCCATGCCACAGAAGCTCCTGGCTCGGGCCCTCGAGTCCCCACACCTGGAACTCAGCAGGAGCACACTGTGCAGGGCAACGGGCCCCTCTTGCTTTTAGGGTTTTATGGCTAATCCTTGTGGGGGGCCCCACCCACTCATTCATTCATTTATTCATCTGAGAAGTGTTTCCTGAGCACTTCATGTGCAGGGCAGGAGGGCAGAGCCTTGCAGGAGTCGCTGTCCCCTGGGGATGTCCTGGGCAGGGGAGGCAGGCACAGTGCGGTTGGGTGTGCGGCAGGTAGGGCCTGGACAGGGCAGACCCCAAGGGAAGTGGAGGGGCACCCTAGACAGAGGGTGCGGCCTGCGGACCCCCGCGAGAAATCCTCCAGCCCTCTGAAAGGAGGCCCTGGCGGCTGGTGGGTGGGGATGTGGGCAGGGCCCTGGGGGCCGCGTGGCTGTCCGGGAGAGGGCAGGTGGCCAGGAGGCTGCAGGGGCTGGGAAGGGTCATAGCTGGGTGGCCTGGTGTGTGCCCCAGCTGGGAGTGACCAGCGTGGGCATGGTGGTTAGAAACGCAGAGGCCCAGACCCGCCCAGATGGACCCACTGAGCCAGACTGCGTGTGGTGAGGGGACCCCGAGGGTGGGCATGTCCCCTGTGAGTGCTGGTGGGGCCCCAGCTCACCTTGGGCTCCTCACCTTGGACCTCTCTCACTGACCCTGAGTGGGACATTTGGTTTGCAATATTAGTCCCTTTTGCTGGGCAATGACTTGTCTGAGCCTCAGTTTCCCACTCTAAAAAACGGGCAGGATGGCCCCTGGATTGTCCCCTCCCTGGAGGGACAGAGTCAAAGGCCAGTGTCACAGAGGCGATGAGGCGACGTCCCTGCCACCATCCTGGGAAGGAGCACGAGCTGGGGTCCATGGGGCCCAGACTTCCTGGGCTGAAGGGGAGCCTGCTTGTTGTCCCAGCAGTTCCCTGCCCAGACACGCGGGTGGGCGTTTGCCACCGTTGCAAACATCCCACGCTGGGAGGCCAGCCCTGGAGCTGCGTCTGGAATCTGGGCTGCCCGTCCAGAAACAGCGCACGTGGCGTGATGCCAGGGAGGGAAGGCGGGAAGGCCCCGGGTTCTGCCTGCAGAGGTGCGGTGGCCGTGAGCCCGCGGAGACCAGTGGGCTCGCAGGGCCAGGAGGAGATTCCCGTCCTCTCTGCGGTCTGCACATTCTCGCGAGGAATTCGAAATGAAGGTGATCGCGGAGAGGCCTGGCGGCTGTGCCTGTGAGGCTCCTGGACCCCTGGCCCAAGGCGGAGCCGGGGCTGCTGCCGCCTCCTGGGCCCCTTCCCTTTCCTGGGCTGGGGGTCCGCTAGGAGGCTCGGAGCCCTTGTGAGCTCTGGGGTCACACCTGCTCCCACCCACCTGGGAGAAGCAAGCTGCGCAGCCGTGACCCAGGACTGGCCGGGGCTGCGGCCCAGGCACAGAGAACCTTCTCTTTTTCCCTTTTCTTTCCTTCACATTTTACAGTTCTTTTTTTCAACTTCATATTCTTCTGTAACATTGTTTTTAACAATCGCTTCATTGTGAAAACAATTCACATACCATACAATCCACCCATTTAAAGTGTACAATGCAGCGGTTTTTAGCACATTCACGGGTTGTGCAACCATCACCACAGCCAGTTTTAGGATATTTTGATCATCTCAGAAAGGAACCCCGTGCCCTTTAGTGTCAACACCCCCACCCCAGCCCCGAGCAGCCACATGCCTACTGCTCGCTCTGTAGCTTTGCCTGTTGTGGACATTTGACAAGAGTGGAGCCACACGCTGTGGCTTCTCGCACTTTGTATAATGCTTCCAGGCTCTCGGCGCTGTAGCATGTGCAGCGCTGACGCTCCGTCGCGGGTGACCAGCCTTCGTCCGTGGGTCCCACAATGGACACGCAGGTCGCTTCACCCCATGCGATGTACTTTATTTTTTTTTCAAAATTTTTATGGGGATACAAACGTTTGGGTTACATCTATTGCATTTGCACCACCCCGGTCAGGGCTGCAAGGATGTCCCTCCCAGACTGTGCCTATGGCACCCATTAGGTGTGAATTTACCTATCTATCCTCTCTGCCCCCGTCCCACCTGCCCGACACCCGATGAATGTTACTTCCATACGTGCACATGAGTATTGATCAGTTAGTACCAATTTGATGGTGAGTACGTGTGGTGCTTGTTTTCCATCCTTGTGATACTTCACTTAGTAGAATGGGCTCTGATGTACTTCGATGACCACGCACCACGTGCATGGGGCACACGCCCAGCAGGCCTAAAGAGCGCTGCGGAGTGTGAGCTCCCTCCCCGCTGGTCCTCCACCTCCTTGCGTGCCTTACCCTAACCCTAACCCCGAGCCCAGCCTGGGGCTGGCGTTTCTGCCTCTAAGAGGTGCTCTGCCCGTGGGAGTGCAGGCGCATTTCACTCCACGCAGGAGCCCCCGCCCTCCCCGTGGCTGCAGGGGAGCCACGGCCTGTTTGCCCCTCTGGCTGGACATGTAGGTTGTTTCCAGACTTTTCTGACTGTGATCCCTCAACCCATGAACGTGTGGGAGTTTCTCAGTAGCCTAATTTCCTGGAAGCGAAAGTGCGAGGTCAAAGGCGATGTGGTTTGGTAATTTTGGAGAGATTTTTGCCGGACTCCCCCCGACAGCTACTCCCAGCCCCGGTGGGCTGTGGGGGTGACGCCGCACCCTGCGTTCCGGCTGCCAGTGCTTCTGCGTTGCTGACCTGACAGGTGCAGCAGTGTTCTCGAGAGGTGGAGATTTCATTCGGAATTTTCTCATCCTAAGTGGAACGGAGCATCTTTGACACGTGTTGCAGTCGTGTGAACTGTCTCTTCTACCTTGCACCTGTCTTTCTGCCACATGTTAGCTTTTTCATCTTCTAGGGGTTTTTGGTGTATTAGAGACATCAATTTGAGATTTTGGCTGAAAAAGTTTTTTCTAGGTTGTCTTTCGAATTTGCTCATGGTGGTTTTTGCCATGGAAAGTTTTTTACTTTGATGTAGTCAAATGGATAAACCTACTCTTGTGTGGTTTTAGGGTTGAGAGCATGCTTAGATGGGCCTTCTCTGCCCAGGGTTATTTTTTAAATAACAGCTTTATTGAGGTATCCGTCACATGCCACACGGTTCGCACTTCTAAAGTGTACAATTTAGTAGTTTCAGCGTAGCCAGAGCTGTGCAGCTACCACCACAATCTAATTTTAGAACATTTTCTTATCCCAAAATAGAACCCTGTACTCGTTAGCACGCACACCCCACCCCCAGACCCCAGCCCCTCCTCAAGGCAGAAAGACTGACTTTCTGTCTCCGTGGACTCACCTGCTCCGAATATGTAGAGGTGGAATCACAGCGTGTGGTCCATTGCTGGGCTTATTTCCCCGAGCATGTGTCCAGGGTTCATCCGTGTTGCAGTGTGTGTCAGTGCCTCATGCCTTTTTACAGGTAAATAATACTCTGTTGTACGGATAGACCATGTTTTGTTTATCCACTCGTCAGTTGATGGACATCAGGGTGGCCTCAATCTCCAGCTCTCATGAACGATGCCGTGGTGAACATCCGTGTGCGTGTTGTGTGGCGTGTCTTCACGTCTCTTAGAATGGAGTACAATTGCCGGGTCCTGTGTAACAGTATGGTTGATGTTTTAAGGAACTGCCAGCCCGTTTTGTCAAAACGGCTGCACGTTCCCATCAGCAATGCCCCCCACATCCTGTCTGGCACGTGTCACTGTCTGCGATGTTTGCCATCCTGGGGGTGCTCACTGTGGCTTTGATTTGCACCCTGCCAGTTCAAGGATGTTGAACATCTTCTCGTGTGCTCACCGGCCATTTGTGTATCTTCTCGTGAGAAGTGTCCATTCAAACCCTTTACTCATTTTTAAATTGAGCTATTTTGTCTTTTTATGATAAGCGAGGAGTGTCGATGACTGAGAGTTCCTTATATATTCTGGACACAAGTCCCTGGTCAGATAAAGGATATACAAGAAGTTTTTCTCACTCTGTCGGTTGTCTGCCACTTTCCTCTTAGAATATGATATTTAAAAAATACAAAAAGTACAGTTTATATTGTCAAGGAGCTATCCATGTCATTTTTTATTATCGAGGTGAAATTCACAACATAAAATTAACTATTTTACCGTAAACAGTTCAGTGGCATTTAGCATGCATCTTGTCCCCAAATACTTCCTCACCCAAGGAGGCCGAGCCACTCCCCAGCCCTGGCCCCCACCGATCTGCTTTCTGTCTTCGGATTTGCCTGTTAGGACATTTCATATAAGTGGAATCACGCCAGACGTGACCTTTCGCGTCTGGCTTGTTTCATTCAGCGTGACGTTTCCAAGGTTTATTGTATCTTTTCACTTCCCTGATGTATCCTTTGAAGCACAAAAGTTTTACATTTTGATAAAATCCCATTTATTTTTTTCTGTTTTGTTGCTCGTGCTTTGGTGTCCTATCTATGAAACCATCAGCTAAGCCAAGGCCATGATTTCCTCGCGTATGTTCCTAAAACTATTTTTAAAAATCACCCCATGATTTTTTCTGCTACTTTTATTGTTTAGTTTTTGTTTTTTTTTTTTTTGAGACAGAGTCTCACTCTCTTGCCTGGGGCGAGTGCCGTGGCGTCAGCCTAGCTCACAGCAACCTCAAACTCCTGGGCTCAAGCAATCCTACTGTCTCAGCCTCCCGAATAGCTGGGACCACAGGCACGCGCCACCACGCCCGGCTAATTTTTTCTACATACATTTTTAGCTGTCCAATTAATTTGTTTCCATTTTTGGTAGAGACAGGGTCTCGCTCTTGCTCAGAGCTGGTCTCGAACTCCTGAGCTCAGAACGATCCGCCTGCCTCGGCCTCCCAGAGTGCTAGGATTACAGGCGTGAGCCACCGCGCCCGGCCTATTGTTTAGTTTTTGAAATGAAATGTTTAATGGGAATTTGTTTTAGTGAAAGGTGTATCCGACTCTGCTTTTTCTCCGGATGGCTGTATGGTTTCCCAACACGTTTCAGTCACCTCAATGTCCCCCTGTCCATTTGAGACGTCACCATCCCTGTGCGGACCCACGGCAGTCTGTGGACCTGTTCCTGGAGTTTCCAGTTTGTCCCATTGAGCGAGGCGATTGGGTCAGCACCTGTTTTGTTGAGATAGCATGATAAAATGTTTTCATATCTGTAGGCAGAGTCTTTATTTTCAGAATTTCCTAGGATATTTTTGCTTATTAATGTTTTTTTCTTGAGACAGAGTCCTGTCACACAGGCTGGAGTGCAATGGCATCATCACAGCTCACTGCAGCCTCGAACTCTTGGGCTCACGTGATCCTCCTGTCTCAGCCTCCTCAGTAACTGGGACGACAGGCATGTGCCACAGCACCTGGCTGGACATTTCCTGTTAAACTGATTCTTAGGATTTTGTCCAGTAGCTGTCATAAATAGGATCTTTCCTTCTGTTGTATCACCTAACAGACTGAAGTTTTATATAGAAAAGCCATTGATTTTAGAATTTTAGTTTGGTGCCAGCGTCTTGTGGAATTGTCTCGCTTGTGACTTTTTTCTCCAGCTGATCCTCTTGGGTCCTCTGTGAGCACGAGGACTCAGAGGGCAGGCAGCCTCAGGAAAGGGCCGGCGCCCCCTTGCCCTGCGGCTGTGTGTGGTGGGTCAGGTCCCCCCACCCCCGCTGGCTCCCTCCTGCCCAGATCCCCACACCCAGCCGTGGCGCCATCTCCAACGTGCCCCGCACGGTCCCTCCCCAGGGCCTCTGCACTGGCCATTTCCCCTGCCAGGACACTCTTGTCACGACCCGCCTCCCGAAAGCCTCCCCAGGCCCTGTGAAGGAGGCTCCACGCCTGCACCACGCGGCTGTTTGTTTCTTTCTTTGCAAATGTGTTCTTGGTCCCTGCCTCTGTCTGCTCAGAGGAGCCGCCTGGCCGGGCCCGGCTCTGCCTGTGTCCAGGCCCCCGTCTGCTGCACATTAGCAAGTCGCTGAGCATGAGTTGGATGAGTGGATGAGCCCAGCCTTTTGGGAGGCAGTGAGGGGGGCATTTCCAGACGGAGCAGCCTGTCCAGCCAGGATGCGCCTGGGGTGTGTCGGGCAGGGCCCAGATGCCGTCCCGAGGAGGGGGCTCTCCTCTTGGCCTCTTTTGCCGAGTCCCCTTTCTTCAGGGACACTGGTTCCTTCCACGCACCAGGGGAGGGTAGATGGCTCAGAAACGGTTTCCCTGGGACAGGAGAGAAGGTGGGAGTCCCTGTCCCAGCGCTGGCCAAGCCCTCAGTGCCCTGGGTCCACCAGCCCCACAGCTACCCTGGGTCTGGGGTGCCGGGAGCTCTGACCTGGCCCCCCCACCGCTACCCACCCACCTCCTGGTGCGCTGACTCTGCCCCCCGCAGGCGTTCTGACCCTGCTCTCCCAGGTGCTCTGGCTTTGCCCCCCAGACACTCTGACCCTGCCCCCCTAGGCGCTCTGACGCTGACCCCCTCTCTTGCAGTTCATGGCCTCCCACGGGAATGATGCTGCAAGAGCCACATTCGAGTCCAAAGTGCCCTCCTTCTACTACCGGCCCACGTTTTCCGACTGCCAGTAAGTACAAAGGGGCTTTGTCAGGGTCACTGGGCCACAGCTCCGGAGATGGCTCCGGGAGGACCCACGGCTGGAGTGGGGGGGGTGCGAGCCGTCGAGAACGTCAGCCAGGGCTGTGCTGCGCCCCTGGGGCCCCAGTGTCCCCCACGCGTGTGTGGCTGTGTCTACCCTCCCTCCTCTGGCTTGGGGTCCTGGCCTGTGGGCAGTGGCCGGGGAGGGCAGGGAAGGATGTTTTGTCCCAGCAGACTTGGGTTCTCTGGGGACAGTGGGGGTCCCCATTAGGGTCTTGGGGGGCTCTCAAGCAGTCCCCCTGGGTGCACTCTGGTGGTGTGGGAGGAAGACATGAAAGCTCCTGTCACGGGGGCCCGCCCAGGTCCTGCATGGAGGCGGGTGATGTGGGTGCTCCCACCGGGTGGGGAGGGTTCTGGAGTCGTTGGGAGGCTGCAGAGAGAGGGGATGCGGGCTGGCTCCGGCCCTGGTCAGCACAGCACCAGTGACCTTGGGCTGAGCCTCAGTTTCCCCATCTGCCCAGCAGATGAGGAGGGAATGACATGCACCAGTGCCCTCCTCTCCGCCCATCGCAGGGGAGGGGCCTGTGGCCCCAGCCCCACCTGGGCTCCCAGCCCCCAGCTCTCTCGGCCCATCCTGCTGTCCTGTCCCAGCGGCCACCCGTTTCCCACACCCACCCTGTGCCTCCTGCCTCCCAACCTTGGCCCAGGCCACCATTCACGCGGAGCGCCCACCCACCTCTGCGCAACATTGTCCTGGCTCCGGTTTCCCACCGCTCGGTCCAGAGCCCCCTCCCGCCTTGGGCCGCTGGTCTGCGTGGGGGCGCTGGGCAGCCTCCCCGCAGGTTCTCCTGGGCGGGGGCCTCTGATTCCTGCGTCTTCGGTGTCCAGCACAGGCAGACACGCCTGAGGGACTCCGGAAGTGGCGGGTGAGGGGCCGCACACACAACCCCTGGGACAGGGCCTTGGGCGAGGCGGGCGCCCGCTGACGTCGGTGGCCGCCTTTGCCAGGCCAGCACCAGGGAGGGGACATGTCCACCAGGCCATCCTGGGGCTCCCGGGGCCCTTGGTGCCCCATGACTGCTCCGCGGGTCTGCCCATCTCCTGCCTGCTCCCAACACCCCCACACCTCCCTGGTCTGGGCACCCTCCCCACCAGGAAACCCACGTGCCCTTGTCCTCCCAAAGCAGGACAGTCCCCATGGTCAGGCAGAGCCCCGTGCCGGCCAGTGCCCACTGCCACTCAGGCACGGCGTGGAGGCCAACGTCTAGCTCTCTCGTGATAAGGGCCTCTGAGAGCGGCTGGGGAAGGACCCAGGACGTGTGACCCCCCCAGCCCGAAACTCCTCATCACAAGGGTCAGGCAGGGGTCACCCAGACAGAGGTGGGAGGAGCCAATCTGGCCAGGTGGGGCCAGTGCCCAGGCCAGCGTGTGGCGGGGCCAGTCCTGCAGGCTCCCAGCATTCCCCTCTTGGCCATGAGCCATGTGCTGTGGGATCTCTGGGGGCCAGGCCCCCCTGCAGGCCCCTCAAGGCCCCCACTGTGCTGGGGAGACATGTGGTGAGGGCAGCCTTGCCCTGTCCTCCTCATTCCCAGGTGAGGGTGGCCCTGCCCTGACCTCCTGTTCCCAGGCCGTGGCTCGGTTCCGGCCCCACCTGGGCCCTACCTGGTCTCCTGTGTGCTCAGCTTTCTTCTTCCGTTGACTCACCCTGGACTCACCTTGTAAACCTAAACACCCCTGGCCCCACCCAGGGTGATACCTGTGGAACCACAGGCTGGGTGCAGCACTGTGTTTTCTGACACCACGTTAGGTGAGCGTGAAGCCCTCCCAGGGCCCCAGGAGGGCGGGGGCCCCACTCCCCAGGTGTTGCTGCTATGGGCCTGCCCTGACTTGGGGAGCTCCAGAGTGGGCTCTGCCCTAATCCATGCCCAGGAGTTGCTGGTGGGGATTGTGGTCACCCTGGGGCATCTACGTCCAGGGCTCTGTTCGGGGTCTGTGCCCCTATTCAGTGGGCTCCATGACGGGGGAATGGGGTCTGAATGTTGTCACTGGGTCCAGAGGGCCTCAGACAATGTGAGGGGCAAGAGGGAGGAGGGGGAGGGGGAAGAGGAAGGGGAGGAAGAAGAGGCAGGGGAAGGAGGAGGGAGGAAGGGGGAAGAGGAAGGAGGGGTGGAGGGGAGCTGGCAGGGAGAACGCACTCACACTCTGCATTCAGGGCTGCCACCGGCAGACTCCCTGGGTCTCAGTGGAGGCTGCTCAGGTTGCTGCAGGGAGGAGGGGCTGGGTGTGTCCAGCAGCAACTGTCACCCTGTGTGTCTATTGGTTGTTGATTTTGGGTCACCAGGCCCTGGGCTGGGCGCTCACAGGCATCTTCTTGGTGAGCCTCCCGCGAGCCTGGGAGGCAGGTGCCATTCGGATCCCACTTCCCGGGTGAGAGGACAGGGGCTGGCAGCCCCTCCAGCCTACACATCACCCCTCAACCCGACAGGCCTGGGGCCCTGACCCCGTCCTGAGACCACCCCCCCACCAAGTGCTCACGGGAAACCCAGCCCAGGCCTGCGCGGCATCCTCAGTCTGACTCAGGGCTGGCGCTAGTGAGGCCGTTTTGGAGACATGGGTTTGTGGCTAGCGGCAGGCTGCGGTGTGGTCAGGGTCACCCTCCCAGCTCAGGGCCCCCAGGTGTAAACTGTGGAAGCAGGAGGTCATTGTGGCGTATAACCTGCGATGTCCGTGAGGTGGCAGGAGACAGTGCTGTCTGGCTGTCGGAGCTGTAGGACGCAGGAGCGGGGGCAGGAGGAGGAGCTGTGCCTTCACGCGGAAGCTGTCTCAAGGCAGAACGCTGCACACGTCTGGGTGGCATCTTTGCAGGTGCTAAGAGCAGCAGGCAGGGACACGGAGTGGGACAAACTGAGTGTGGAAAGCCTTATTTCACACCCCGCTGCCTCCCAGCACCCGCTGGCCACAGGGCAGCAGGACAGGCACCCTGGGCCTCAGTTTCCACAGTTGTAAGAGGGGAGGGTGCCACCTGCTGCCAGGCCATTGGGAGGAGGGCCGTGGCCAGGGTTGTCCCCCAGTGTGGGCTCCTTTCTGGAGGGTGGAGTACAGGTCTCAGGGGTCCCGTGTGTGGCTATTTTTAGCACAGGCCGTGACTCAGGACAGAGGTCACTGCAGGGCCCTCGAGTCTCCACCCTGACGTCCGGAGGGAAAGTCAGAAAGGGCCGCCCTCTCGGTTTTGCTGCTGGGTGGAACCAGCCCCTCCTGCTTCCTGTGTGGTGAAGCTGGGCCGGTGGCAGGGCCCCGACACTGGGGTGCAGGCAGCGGCCGCTTCCCGGCAGCACCCGCCATGGGAGGTCACGGGTGCAGCCTCAAAGCCTGGGCCCTGCAGGTGGGCAGGGGTCCTGCTGCCCGTCTTAGCTTCCTGCTGCAACACAGCGCCACAGAGTGGCAGGAGTCTGTCTGCCCAGCCTGGGGGCCGGACGCTCAAGGTGGTATCTCCATGGGCCTCTCTGCAAGGCTGGCCGACGGTCACTTCTGCAATGTCCTTGTGTGGCTGTCCCTCCGCACATCTGTACCTGATTTCCCCATCGTGAGGGCACCCGTCACCCTGGACTAGTCCCTCGTCTGAGCCCCTGTCTCCAGCACATCTGAGGTCTTGGGGTTTGGATGCAATCTTGGGATGGGGCACAGCAGGCTCAGGAATCACCCGGGTGTTTACAATGTCCTGAAATCCCCGCAGCAGCAGCTGGCAGAACCGGAGGAGCGGATGCCTGGGAGGCCGGGCACCCAGGGGTGTCCACAGCCACCAGGGCCACTGGGACCAGCCCTGGCTGGAGAAGGATCTTGGATGGTGCCCAGTTGGGGAGCCCTGGTGGGGCAGAGGTGGGAGGGGACCCTGGGGCTCAGAGCAGGGGCGGGCTTGGGTGGGGGCCCCCCATGAAGCCACCAGGTCCAGTGGTCACCCAAGCCCTGCCCCACCCAGCCCCCAGGGCCTGGTTTGCTCTGGGTTAAGGGGACCCACCCTGACCCGAGGGCCCTGGCACTGAGGGGGCGGCTCCTTGAGCCCTGGGCACACAGGACAGACCCCAGGGAGTGGGGACGGAGGCTTTCCAGCCTAGCCCAGGTACCCCAAGCCCCTGCATCGTTCTGGGCCGTGCGAGGGGTGAGGGCCCAGCTGGCCGGTACAGGAGGGGGCTGGCCAGATGGCCTTGGGAGGGCAGGGCCAGGACCGCGGTGATCGGCTGATACGAGACCCGTCATGAGGGAGGATTTGGGGCAGCCCTGTTGGGCAGGGCAGGATACAGCCACTGAGCTCTCCTTACTGGCTCCGAGGGCTTCCTCCTGCTGCTTCTAGAAGCCTCCGCGTCAGCCCCAGGAGGCCCTGTGTGCAGGTGCGAGTGAAGGATGCCTGTGTCTGCGCCAGGGCAGTGGCCTGGCCCTCGAGTGTCCCCTGCCCTGACGGCTATTCGTCGCAGCCTCCCTCAGTGTCCGCGTGGCATCGACGGCCCCAGGTCCCCACACAGCATCAGGTCCTCCCTTCAGCTCAGAGGCCAGAGCCTGGGGTGCTGGAGGGAGCGGCCTCCCCCAAGGTCAGCCCGCTGGCACCCTGTGGGGGACCGGATGACGGCACCCTGTGGGGGACCGGATGACGGCACCCTGTGGGGGACCGGATGACGTCCCCCAGAGATGCGTTCACATCCGACCTACAGTACCTGCGAAGGTGAACTCGTCTGGAAATCAGGTCTCTGCAGGTGTAGTCAGGTTAGGCGAGGTCATCTGGGGTAGGTAGTCCCACCCCCCAGCGGGCGCCTGGTAGGAGGCCCAGAGTGGAGGCTGCGTGAGGCGGAGGCGGAGGCGGAGGCGGGCGGCGCATCAGCGGGGACCAGCTTTGTGGCGCCTGCTTTTTGGACTCGGGGTTCCAGAACGTGAGAAGGTTCTGTCGTCCCCAGTTTGGGTGATTTGCCATGGCAGCCGAGGGACACTCACACCACAGCGCTGGGGGCCCAGGACCTGGCCCGAGGTGGGGGCGGCGTCCGGAGGACCCGTCTCCCCTTGGATCTACACAGACCAGCCCTAGCCCCAGCCCCGGCTCTGAGGCTGCCGCGTGGCCAGCATGAAGCAAGAGGTTTCCTCTTTGTCTTTTGTGTGGAATTGACTGGAAACAGAAAAACCGCCAAGCTGGGGGCTGTGCTGGGGCTGGAGTTGGCCTCTTCCATGGGTGGCTCATGCCTTTTGCCATGGCGGCAGCTGACCCTGCTGTGACAGTGGACAGAGAAACCACGTGGCTGGGCCGGGAGGTGCGGGCCTGTCACTCCGAAGTCTTTCTCTCCTGCGGCCGTGGTCAGGTGTTCATCCAACAGTTTCCCCCGAGACTTCCTGGCCTGACCGCTGCTATCTCTGTGTCCCCTGCGAGGTGGGAGCTGGGGCCAGGGACAGCCGAGGAGGCCAGGGTGCAGGGGATGGGGGGGGGCGCAGAGAGCTCACCGTCCAGAGATGGCCAAGGAGACACGGATGAGTAAATGGGCCGTGTGGCGTGGGACACGCGGGAGGGCTGGAACGGTGGGGCATGAAGGGCCTCTCGGGGCCAGGCGCAACAGGGCTTGGAGGGAGGAAGCCATGGCTGCCTGGGGGACACCCCGGAGTGCAGAGGCCTTGGGCTGGGCTGGGGCAGGGGGTCAGGTTGGGCGTCGGGGACACGGAGGCTCTTGCTGTCGCTGGAACTGCGTGAGGTGGTTCGAGCAGAGGATGCGCAGGTGCCTCCTGCATCCAGTTTGCCATTTGGAGAGATGTCAGGGGCAGGGACAGCTTCAGGGAGGGGCCAAGGGGACCCCGGCGGCAGTGCTTGTGACTGTGGGTGGGGGGCTGCAGAGCCGGGTCCAGGCCACCCCTGAGCAGCCAGGAGCTGGCAGCCGCCCTGGGGATGGAAGGAGCCGGGCTCCAGGTTTGGGCCTGGGGCACAGTTGTGTGTGTGGACTTGGGGGTTCTTCCGGCCACCCGCAGGTCTGGTCCTGCCCTCTGGTCAGCTGTGGGCTTCCTGTTCCCAATGCCTCTCCCCTGGTGAGGCCAGGGCCTTGTCACCTACGTGAGCCCGGCGGACGTCTGGCTCCTGCCGAACCCTGGGCCTCGGATTCACAGCAGGGGGTCCCGGCTTCTCCCTGCCACACCCAATGACTCTGAGCCCACTTGGGGGGGTCACAGGGGTTCCCTGGGGACCAGTGCTCTCCCCAGAGATCCTTCCTGGCAAGTCTGTCTGGAGGCCCCAGGGGGGTCTGAGGTTGAGCACTGACCACTGTCCTCTTCTGCAGGGGCTTCAGGCCCCAGAACTGCAGCGTGCGGGCAGGAGGCTGGGCTGTTACTGTCTGAGATCCCAGCGTGGGCCCAGGCTCCCTGATAACCACGGAGAAGCTTGCTAGAGGAGGTGATCAGTGGGAGGTGATCTAACCATAAAGGGAAGGAAATTCTGACACACGCTGCAGCACGGAGGAACCTCACACATTAAGCTGCGTGAGAGCCAGACACGGAGGCACATGTATGATCCTGTTTATGTGCACGGCCAGCAGGCAGGGCTGTCTGTAGAGACAGAAGGCGGATTATGGTCCCGGGGCTGGGGGTCTGCTAATGGGTGTTTCTGTTTGGGGAGGTGAAATGATCTGCAATTAGACGGCCGTGATGGTTGCACAACCTGGTTGTGCTATGCAGTGAACCGCTGAATCGTACACTTTAAAGGGTGAATTTTATGGTATATGAATTATATTTTAATAGTTAATAAGAAGAGGAGGTATGAAAAGGTGAAACTACTTGATTATCGAACCATTTTAAAAATCAGACTGGCGGGCCCTGCAGCCCAGGGCCTGAGTGCCTGACCCCGCAGTTCGCCGGCGTCTCCTGCCCCGAGGGCAGCCCCAGGTCTGCTGGGGGTTCCTGGGGCCTCCTGAGGGTCCTGAGTCCCGGCCCAGGCACGTGTGGGTGGATCTCGGTAGCCTGCGAGCTCAGTCTCCTCCTCTCTCCCCAGAGTCCTGCGAGAGCAGTGGGTCCGTGCCAAGTACGAGCGGAGGGAGTTCGTCCACCTGGAGAAGCAGGAGCCCTACTCGGCAGGTGAGGCCCGGGCTGGCGGCCACACCTCTGGGGTGCGGGCTTCTCTGTGTGTCTCCGTCTCCCACCGGCTCACAGGTGTGAACTGCGTCCCTGACCCCTTGACCCCCGTGCAGAGTCCCCGGGCTGTGTATAGCGCAGCCCTTACTTAGTGGTGCATGTGGGAGCCCCCCGCCACCCCTCCTCTGCTGGGGGAGGCGCCCATCCTGCTGAGGAGCGACCCAGGTGGGGAGCAGGAGAGGCCTGCCATGGTGGCCGCACACACGCCATGGGAGGGCAGGGCCAGGCCAGCAGCCTCCGCCTGTCCCTGGGCCCAGCCGGGAGCTGTTGGGTCTCCTGTGGCTGGCAGAGGCATCCAGGCAGCGTTCCAGAGCTTTGTGGACTGGGAAGGTCTGCACAGGTGTGTCTGAGAGGGCGGGGCATGTGGGGGTCCTGGGACACCTGGCCCCACCCAAGCCCAAGTCTCCCCAGCTCTTGTCAGTGGGCGAGGCCTCAGGCCACACCCCCGAGTCCACTTCCGCTTTCTCTCCCCCAGTGCATTTGAATTCCCTGTTCCACCGGACATGGTCGCACACACCTGTAGTCTCAGCTACTCAGTAGACTGAGGTGGGAGGATCGCTTAAGGCCAGGAGTTGGAGGCTGCAGTGAGCTGTGATGGCACCACAGCACTCCAGCCTGGGCAACAGAGCAAGACTCTGTCTCAAAAAAAACAAACAAAAAAATCTACTGAACTGAAATTAAACCGAGAGTTAAATAAATAAATAAAATCTGGTGCTTCAAGTGGGAACCCCCCTAGCCTGAGCTGGCCGGGCATCTTCCAGAGGCTGATCTGCACATGGTGGGCTTGGGGACGGGGGCTTTCGTGGTTCCCCCCAGAGCAGCCCCGAGGTGTCCATGGGAGGGGCCGTCCTCTGCTGGGCGGCTGCCCGGCCCAGCCTGGGTGTGGACTGTAGCTCCTGAGGCCGGGCCACCTCTGCACGCAGGCCTGTGCCTGGGCTAGGCCATCGCGGCTGCTGGGACCCCAGGGGCGCTGTGGCCTGGCCCTCTGCATGGGGCCAGCCAAAGGGCTCCTTCCAGCAGGTGAGGCCTGTGGATAAACCCGTGGGTCATGAACATTGATGGCACCAGGCCAGCAGGGGAGGTGCGGTGTGTGTAGCAGGGACTGGCTGCCCCCAGCCCCCATGGCCAGGCTGCTGCCGGCGCTGGGCCGAGCACTGACAGTCCACACGTGGTGCATGGCTCATGCTCACAAATGCCCCTTCCTCCACCATGTCATCCTTGTCCAACAGGTGAGGAAACTGAGGCAGGTGAAGGGACAGGGCCTGGTTTTGAGTGTCAGCGCAGCCAGCACAAGTGGATCGGGAGGGCTGGGCACCAGGCGCTGGCTGGTGAGGCCACGTCGGCCCCTCACAGGGTGGGGAGAGATGGTCCCACCCACCCTGGCTCTGGCCCTGCGACCTGGGCACTGCATCCCTCCGCCAGCGAGAGCCACATGCATGCCCTTGCATGAAGGAGAGGCCCTGGGTAGCTGGACACAGGACTGCGTGTGGCCCAGCCGTCCCCAGGTGTGCCCAGGAGCAGTGAGAACAGGCATCGAGCAGGTCCTAGTGCACGGCGTCCACGTGGCACTGTTCGCTGTCACGGAAAACAGAAGCGGCCGGACGCCATCAGCTGAGGAGTGAACCGTGGTCTGTCCAGACCATGGGATGTTACACGGCTGCGAGGAGGGCGCAGCTCTGACATGCTACAACTTGAATGCGCCATAGCAGCGCCACACCGAGTGACACGGGACTCACCTTGTGACTCCGTTTGTATGGAAAGTCTGGAACAGGCAGGTCCACAGGGACAGAAAGTGGATGATTAGCGGTTGCCGGTGGCTGGGGTGACTGCTGATGGGCATAGAATCTCCTTTTGGGGGCATAGAATGTTCTTTAGGCAGAGGTGGTGGTTGCCACATAAACTAAATGCCACTGAGCTGTTCACTTCAAAATGGTAAGTCAAGTTTGCGATGCCTGGTGACGTGGGTGGGGCCGGGTGAAGGAGCCCCCCCAGGTGCTCAAAGCCCTCCCTGGGCCCCTGGGAGCGAATGCCGGTGAGTGGGAGGCTCAGGGTGTGAGACGCCAGGCCACTCTGCTGGCCAGAGTAACCCCTTACGCCCTGGGGGGCCGGCTCAAGGGCAGTCATCGGTCCCTGTCGGTGGGCTGTGGGGGGGCCCAGCACCCGGCATTCAGGGAGAGGCCTGTGCTCCTGCCTCGCCCCCGACACTCCCTGGGCGCAAAGTCCCCCCCAGATGGGGATTTCCTCCCCGCAGCCATCCCTGGAGTGTGGCGAGTGAGGAGGGAGCGGGCACCAGCCTGTCCTGCAGCTTCTGGACCCTCCCTCGCTCTGGCCCTGCCTGGAACCCCAGCCCACTCGCTCGGGGAGCCGCAGGAGAATCCTCTGTGCCGCTTTGTTTCCCCGAGTGTCTTAGCAGTTTATAACAAGATGGTGTGCGACCTCACTCCAGAGGCAGGTGTGGGCTGGGCCGACGTAAGCACATTGCTGAGATTTGTGTCCGTTCTTGTATCAGAACCTCTGGTTGTAAGCGACAGAAAATCCAACTTAACTGGGCGTGAGCAAGATGGGAAATGGATCGGCTGGAGTGATTCTGGCTTCAGGCACAGCTTGACCTGGGGCTTTGATCAGTGTTGCTGAGACTTGGTTTCAGCGTCTGCACCTTTCAGTTCTGGGTGACACCAGCCCCCCCGTCCCCTCCCCGCGGTGGCAGCTGTGCCCCAGCAGGTCCACTTCATGTGCCCCTCGCGTGTGCTTCAAGGAAAGGGTGAGTGTGACTCACGGAAGTGTCGGAAGTCTCTGCCTCTCTGGCGCTGACTGGTTTGGGACGGGCAGTGACCAGGGAGATGTGCCCTGGGTCACACACCTTCTTCAGAACTGGGAGCGGTCCTCCCAGGGATTGGGGTCTGGGTTCCGGAAGGTGCAAAACCATTGCCGGTTTGGAGGGTGGGTGAGTGAGCGTCCTGCAGGTGACTTGGGTGTCAGCCCCCGGCATATAGGTGGGCCAGGGCTCAGGAGGCCGTGACAATCGCTGTGAGCCAGGAGGCCTCCCTCCCCAGCCCGAGGTTCCCCCATGACAATGCTGGTGAAACATCCCCAGCACCGTGGGTGTTCCAGAGGAAGCTAACGGCTCTCGCGTGACATTGGCCAAGGGGATGGCAGGAGGAGAGGTCTGGCAGCAGGGTGGGCTCAAGGGGCACAGAGTGTCTCAGGCCTTGCACACCGGCCTCCCAAGGCCACGGCGGAGCCCACGGCTGCTTCTCACGCTAGGCCTGGTGAGGCAGCACAGCCTCGGCCCCGGCTCATATCCCACCACGGGGACCAGACCCCGCCATCTGTGCACTGCACTGTCTCACCTGGGTGATGGGAGCCTGGTGTGAGGACGGCAGTGGGGTGCGTGGGTGAGGCGCACAGGTGGGGCACGCAGGTAGGGTATGCAGGTGGGATGCACAGGTATGTGCGCCGCACAGTGCTGGCCCACCCCAGAGAGCCATCAGATGCTGTTGGATGACGTGGCCGTGTGTTAACTGGGCAGGAGCGTGGGAGTCCCTTGCAGCGGCCACCTGAGGCCAGGTGAGTGAGGGCTGCCCGAGAGAGCGTTGCCGTTGTCTCCCGAAACACGGGAGCAGTTTAGGTGAGGCAGGAGGGTTCCATCGAGAGCCGTGGAGATTGAGAGAAACCCGAGTGGGTGAGGTGGGGCAGGGCGGGGTAGGGTGTGGACGGGGCGACTGCTCGGTCTGTGCAGAGCCGCTGTGCCCACACCTCCCTCAGAGCCCCGCCAGGACTGGGTGTTTGTTGATTCCAACCCCAGACAGTCATGGGGAGCTGAGAGCTACGGCTGGGGGAGCAGCAGGTGCTGGGCCCGCGTGTCCTGTCCTGTCCAAGGGGGTTTCCTCCCCACCTCGGGGCCGCTGGCACGGAAGGTGGGTCTGGACATGCTCTCCCCGGAGAGCGTAACTCCCACACTGGAAGGGGTGGTTTAGCGCCTTCCGGCCCTTTCCACCACTGGCCTCCTCCCTTCTGGGCACTGGGCGGCCGTCAGCACCTCCCGTCCCTGGCTCTGAGCGCTGCGCAGTGGCCATGACCCCAGGCCCTTGTCTCGGCTCCTGGAGGGTAGCAGGCCACGGGGGTCGATGGCGGACCCCAGTGCAGAGAGCCTAGTGAGGCCTTTGTGTTCCACTCCCGCTTCTCTAAAGCTGTTGTACCCAGAGTGGCGATGCTCTGCCTCACCCTGGGCACTCACGCTTGGAGCTGCACTTCCCCGCCGGGCCTGAGATATATGGGAAGAGAACCTGGGTGTGCACAGGACGTGGGGGGTCGTCAGTCTGTCCCTGCCTCCCCCGAGGCCTTCAACACGCCACCCTCGGGACACTGGCACCTTGGTTGCATGGGGAGCGCCAGGCACACTGGCCAGAGAGTCTGGACGCCAAAAGCCCGGCAGGGAGCCCAAGCTGCGTGGCCCTGTGCGGGGTCCTGACGAGCACGGCCGCTAAACCCCACGGGCTCCGGGCAGCAGCCTCTCCCACCCCCACCCCAGCCCTGCAGACCCTTTCGGCACTGGTAGGAGTGAGGGGCGGGTGAGCTGAGCACGTCAAGCCTGGTGACCGTCCCTGCCCCAGGCTGTGGTCTCTGGCTACTGCGGGGGGGTGGGCACCATGCCAGGGCGGACCCTCAGGCCTGCCCTGGAATGAGCCGGCACCGTGGGCTCCAGGGCACTCTGGGCTGGAGCTGGGGCGGTTGGGGCTCCTCCTTCCCTTGGGGCCTCCCGGAAGCGAGCGTCCAGCGCTGGGTTCTGGAGCTCCTGGCGGCCGAACTGGGCAGTCTGAGCCAGGAACGAGCAAGGACACAGCAGGACCAGAACCCAGAGAGTCCGCGGTGCTGTGAACAGACGGGGGCAGGAGGAGGACAGTCCTTCCGACGCAAGAGCCCCGGTTACTAAACACAGCACG